AGGGACGATGCCGCCCCGTATGGCGGCGCTGCCTCTGCGAGAGGTCCCAAGTAGCGTCCGAGAGAACAGGTCTGCTTCGGGATGGGGAAACAAACCCCATTTGGTGAGCGAGAAAGAAGCGGCGAGCGCGAAGGCCCTCGCAAGCCGGACGGACGGCCCCGGCCTGTTACGTGCTACGGGGCTTTTCCCCCACGCGGAAAGCGGAGAGCGTCGGCTCCCCACGCACCCACCAAACCACTTCCTCGGCTGCCTGGGCCCACGGTCAGGCAGCACAGAGGCCCACTTCCTCCTCCCCACGCACCTCAGCGGCTCCCAGCAACACAAACAGGGATTTCCCCGTTTCTGGAAGGAGAGAGACCAGGTTTGGAAGCTGTGTTTGATGGCAGGCACCGAGTCTTACCGCTCCAGCCCTCAAGCAGGGCTTTTTTCCCATTCCCAGTTGTTCAGGATCGCACCCAACAGGCTCTGTAGTTGTCCAACGCTCGCTCAGCACGGCTTAGACCGAAACCACGCCGTAACACTGCTGCGAGAGCCGCGTTCGATGTCCTTCTGCGCTAACGTGGTCTGATCCGCGCCAGAATAGGAGTTTTTAAGCAAGTAACAAGGCTTTTTATTTTTCACCTTTCTGAAATAAGTCGTCTCTGTGCTCCTCTTAACGGCTGCGGGGTTTAGAAGTTCGCTGCCAGCCAGAAGCGCCCGCCCCCCCGCCGCGCGCCTCTACGGCGGGGCGAGCGTCGCAGCAAGCCTCGAAGGTGGAAAACCCGCTTCTGCTTTACCAGAGCGGAAAACCACCCCAAGGCACACAGAAAAAAGCCTGTTGCCGAGGTTCCCAAACCACGGCAAAGCGGTACAGCCACACAGAGATCTGCCCGCACGCGGAACGCTGCCAGACTCGGCGGGACCAAGCGAAGAATCGAGGTTCTTGGCTTCCCCAGTTCCAACACGACTCAAGGATCGCTCCCGAGTTTCCAAACAAACACAACTGGAGAAGAAAGGAGCAGGTATGGAAACACAGATTGCAGGAAGGCAGAGGCCTAGCAGAGCTTAGCGGCTTTCGAAGGGGGAATAGGGAAGGTCTCTGCCAGGGAATCGGTCCCTGCGCAACCGAGTTGGGCCAGCTGACGTGATGCGCTCAAAATGCAGAGGATGGCCTTCCTCACACTCCATCCTGGGACCACAGACCTTCCCCATCCCCTCCCCGCTCCGTTTCGGCTCGCTTGGCGCGCTCCTTCCTCTATTGAAGTCCCAAGGTGCAGAAGTTTAGTGGAACATGGCCCCGAGTGCAAGTCAACGGGGCGAGGAGGTTTATTCCTTCTCCCGAAGAGCCCAGGAAGAGTTTCTGGAGCTCGGAACATC